TTGGTTACAATTTTTTTGTGCATCTTCTCCATAGTCCTCAGTTACAATTGTCTGTATATATTCTCATATTATCAATCAAATATTTCTGAATACATTATTATCATTGTTAATCATTCATTTGACTATACTATTATTCCTTCATGTTATGCGAGATGTTCCATATTTTAAAATTGATTTATATTATCACAATTCATATTATCATCCTAAATCCATCAAGTAATAATACATCTTTATATTATATTCTATGTAATTCTATTCTCCTTATATTGTAAAATTCTACATATTTCATTACCATATTTTATTTTCTAACCATTGATAAAATAGATCCCAAATCTTATAAAATTGTTTATCTTCTTGTTCTCTAATTTCAAATGTCAATTTACTCATTTCAGCACATTCCATTATTTTCTTAATAACTTCCTCCTGCATTGGTATTTTCTCATTTTTCCAATTTTTAGCAAATACAGTCCTAGCCACTGTTAATACATTTACAATCAAATATTTCAATTCCCTACTGTATATTTCAGGTAAGATTCCCAATAAAAATATCTCTGGTTTCAAGTCTATGTGTTTCTTTGTCATTTTTTTCCAACCATGTGTGGATTTTAGTGCAATATCTTTTAGCTTCTGCACATGTCCACCACATATGGTAATATGAACCTGGTATCTGATGACATTTCCAACATTTTTCAGATTTGTTCGTGAACATTCTTGCTATTCTTGTTGGGGGTAGGTGCCACCTGTAAAACATCTTATACAATTTTTCTTTATATGCTGTTGACATTGTCATTTTATAATTTTTTGACCACACTTTTTGCCATTTATCTAAATCAATCCCATATCCAAATTTTTCCCCCCAAGCAATCATTGTTTCTTTAACTTGTTCTTGTTCTAGCTTAATTTCTAATAAATGTCCATACAGTTTTTTAATCACCTTTTCATCAGTACCTATCAAAATTTTATCTAAGTCAGTCAGTTTATCATAAAAACCTTCTGTTTTAAAATCTTTATCATATCTAGAGCATATTTGCACATATGAAAACCAATTCATCTTTATACCTTGTTCTTCCAACGCTTGCATAGATTTAAGTTCACCCTTTTCATTCAATATTTCACCATATCTAACTGTTTGTTCCTTTTTATATGTTATTGGATAAGAAAATGCTTCAATAGCCCATAACAAGACTGGAATTTTTAAATAGCATTGCTTTTCAGTCTTCTCCCAGTTTAATAATAAAGCCTCACTTATATAATGTCTCCTGTGTTTTAGTTCCCTTGTACCACAGGAAAGCATGCCACCCTAACAACAAATCATGTCCTTCTAATGTCAATAATCTAGTATTTCTTAGTGTTATCCATTCCTTAACCCACATCAGGTTTGTTGCTTGATAATATAACTCCCAGTTAAGCAGGCTAAATCCTCCTCTTATTCTGGCATCTTGCAACAG